ATATTATATTCTGCACTATTCCATTCTCTTCTGCTCTATTCTATTATGCTTTATTCTGTTATATTGTGCTGTATTTTATTATATGCCGCTCTATTCTATTGTGCTGTATTTTATTCAGTTCTGCTCTATTCTATTATATTCCCGTCTACTCTATTATATTCTACACTATTCGATTCTCTTCTGCTCTATTCTGTTATGCTTTATTCTGTTATATTGTGCTGTATTTTATTATATGCCGCTCTATTCTATTCTATTGTGCTCTATTCTATTATGCTAGATTCCATTATATTGTGCTGCATTTTATTTTATTCTATTCTGCTCTATTCTGTTTTATTCAGTTCTGCTCTATTGTATTATATTTCAGTCTACTCTATTATATTCTGCTCTATTATATTATATTCTGCACTATTCCATTCTCTTCTGCTCTATTCTATTATGCTTTATTCTGTTATATTGTGCTGTATTTTATTATATGCCGCTCTATTCTATTGTGCTGTATTTTATTCAGTTCTGCTCTATTCTATTATATTCCCGTCTACTCTATTATATTCTACACTATTCGATTCTCTTCTGCTCTATTCTGTTATGCTTTATTCTGTTATATTGTGCTGTATTTTATTATATGCCGCTCTATTCTATTCTATTGTGCTCTATTCTATTATGCTAGATTCCATTATATTGTGCTGCATTTTATTTTATTCTATTCTGCTCTATTCTGTTTTATTCAGTTCTGCTCTATTGTATTATATTTCAGTCTACTCTATTATATTCTGCTCTATTATATTATATTCTGCACTATTCCATTCTCTTCTGCTCTATTCTATTATGCTTTATTCTGTTATATTGTGCTGTATTTTATTATATGCCGCTCTATTCTATTGTGCTGTATTTTATTCAGTTCTGCTCTATTCTATTATATTCCCGTCTACTCTATTATATTCTACACTATTCGATTCTCTTCTGCTCTATTCTGTTATGCTTTATTCTGTTATATTGTGCTGTATTTTATTATATGCCGCTCTATTCTATTCTATTGTGCTCTATTCTATTATGCTAGATTCCATTATATTGTGCTGCATTTTATTTTATTCTATTCTGCTCTATTCTGTTTTATTCAGTTCTGCTCTATTGTATTATATTTCAGTCTACTCTATTATATTCTGCTCTATTATATTATATTCTGCACTATTCCATTCTCTTCTGCTCTATTCTATTATGCTTTATTCTGTTATATTGTGCTGTATTTTATTATATGCCGCTCTATTCTATTGTGCTGTATTTTATTCAGTTCTGCTCTATTCTATTATATTCCCGTCTACTCTATTATATTCTACACTATTCGATTCTCTTCTGCTCTATTCTGTTATGCTTTATTCTGTTATATTGTGCTGTATTTTATTATATGCCGCTCTATTCTATTCTATTGTGCTCTATTCTATTATGCTAGATTCCATTATATTGTGCTGCATTTTATTTTATTCTATTCTGCTCTATTCTGTTTTATTCAGTTCTGCTCTATTGTATTATATTTCAGTCTACTCTATTATATTCTGCTCTATTATATTATATTCTGCACTATTCCATTCTCTTCTGCTCTATTCTATTATTTTGTGCTCTATTCTATTTTGGTTTATTCTAATATATTCTGCTGTATTTATTCTAATCTGCTCTGTTCTGCTGTATTCTATTATGGTCTGATCTACTAGATTCTATTCTATTCGTCATGATGTTGTTTGTTTTGGTCTCCAGGTGGGTATCCTGGATGTGGATCTGTGTGGGCCCAGTATCCCGCGGATGCTGTGCGTGAAGAAGACGGAGGTGCATCAGTGTGACGCGGGGTGGGTGCCTGTCTACGCAGACCCCAAGCAGCAGCTCGCGATCATGTCCATCGGCTTCCTGCTGGAGGATTCGAATGAGGCTGTCATATGGAGGGGGCCCAAAAAAACAGGTCTGACCTTTGCCATTTAACCTTTTGAACTTTGGTACCTGTTGTGTTCACGTCTCACATCCCTTGTCTCTTCCTCAGCTCTGATTGGGCAGTTTGTCAGTGATGTGGCATGGGGCGAACTGGACGTCCTGCTGGTGGACACGCCCCCGGGGACGTCAGACGAACACCTGTCCGTGCTCGAGAACCTGCGCAAACACAGAGTGGATGGGGCCGTGCTGGTCACTACACCACAGGTGAACATAACGATACTGTAAATCTCTAGTCTGCTGAATAACATGCATTAACAACCTTTTCAAATGTCAGGCAGTGTCTACAGGAGATGTGCGGCGCGAGATCACCTTCTGTAAGAAGACAGCCCTGAAAATCCTGGGCATCGTGGAGAACATGAGCGGCTTTGTGTGTCCACACTGTTCTGTGAGTATCGAACACATACAGCTGTACGGGAAAATGCCATCTAACAATCTGTATTTGAACATTGATGTGTGTTTTTCAGGAGTGCAGTAACATTTTCTCTAAAGGTGGAGGTGAGGAATTAGCCAAGCTCACAGGATCTGTGTTTCTAGGTAATGTGCCGATCAACCAACACTTTTCACTTGTGTTGTTCCACCACTCACCACTCGATGGTGCACAGCATCTCATTTTGTGTTTTATTTCAATGAGTTTTGAGTGCAGCATAGATGAGACTATTGTGTGGTCCAAAAGTCTTGAGGTCACACTGAAGATCAACTGGAGTAAGCAAAATTAAAACAAACATGCTATACTAAAACATGAAATACTAAAGATTCTGCTCTGTTTTGAAAAAATAGTTTTAACATTTTCTCTAAAGGTGGAGGTGAGGAATTAGCCAAGCTCACAGGATCTGTGTTTCTAGGTAATGTGCCGATCAACCAACACTTTTCACTTGTGTTGTTCCACCACTCACCACTCGATGGTGCACAGCATCTCATTTTGTGTTTTATTTCAATGAGTTTTGAGTGCAGCATAGATGAGACTATAGTGTGGTCCAAAAGTCTGAGGTCACACTGAAGATCAACCTGAGAAGGCAAAATTAAAACAAACATGCTATACTAAAACATGAAATACTAAAGATTCTGCTCTGTTTTGAAATAAATAGGTTTTTTTTTTTATATATTAATTTAAATGTTATTTATTTTTTTAAATATTTCCAATTATTTGTAATTTAAGATGCTCTGTGAAACATCTCAAAACATGCTTTAAAACATGATCATGTGCATGTCAAACAAACCAAATACTAGGACATACTTGAATTCGTTAAATTTTCAACCTTTATGATTTATTATAATAATTTGAATTATTATTTACAATAAATAATTAACATATAATTATTTGTTGTTATTTAATAAGAAAAATGCAGTTTTAGAAGCGTTTTAACTGGTGGTCTCAGGCTTTTGAACCCCACTGTACTTCACATCCTTTTTGTTTAAACACGTATACTGACTGATTGTGTGTGTGTAGGCTCAGTGCCGCTGGATCCGCACTTGACAGCGACTTTAGAGGAGGGGCAGGACTTCCTGCAGGCGTTTCCAGAGAGCAGCACGTACACAGCCATCAGTCAAATAGTGAACACTCTCCTCAGCAGCCTGGATGCCTGAAACAGCACTGACTGAACACGGTCAATACACGACAGACACTGAGATGACTCTTCACATTACTGTTTCATCTGATGTCATTTGTAATGAGAGGATTTATCTGTAAAATCTATCTGAAATCTGGAGAATACTAGATATGTATATTGCTAATGCAATGTGTTTTAAACGAGTGTAGCTTTGAATAAAAAATACTGAATATAAAAGAAATGGTCTCCTTTTTGTCCCCGTTTGAAAATAAGGAAGCCATTTGGCCTGTTCCACTACTATTTCCATGCCATTTTAACAAATATTTAGTCTCTTATTATTTTTTTTTTTTTTTTGTCCTAATATATATATTTATTATATAAAATATATAGTGACTTTTCAAACTCTTCAAATAACCACAAGTACCACATACTCTGGGGTACCTTATAAATAATAGATCTATGATTACCCCCTCAATAACTATTGTTTTTATTGAAAAACATACCCGAGTCAGAATCTTAATCTTATAGAATCACAAAATTAAATGTTAATTTTAATTTTACACCCAGATTCTGTTAAAGAAAAAAAAAATTTTTCAGGAACACTTGAGAAAATGTTAAAAAAAGGTTGAGAACCACTGCATTAGAATGAGGTTAAGACCAAATACATGTGTGTATGCAAGTGTTGTGATAACAAGAATTGTTTGTGTAAATAGAAATAATCCACATAATTGTTAGTAAATGAGACCATGTAATGGATTGTGAAAAATCAAGCAATTTTTCAAAAACAAAAAAAAGCTTCAGGGATGTTAAGGTCATTTAGCTGTATCTCAGTATCAGCGCTGTTGGTGAATTATTTTCAAGGTTGAGAATGAAGACAAACACACACAGCTGAACACACTCACACGAGCCGTCTGATGATGAAGAAGCACAGGGAACACAGGCATGTGGAAATTACAGTTGTGAGACCCGTTGAGGGGCACACGCACACCTTTAATACAACCAAACATCAGATATACAGAGGAAACAACCAGAAATACACACATCGAGCTGAAATACTCCCAGACAACTGCACTCGCCAGAACCCCGGCCAGTGCAGATCTATTCTTATATATATATATATATATATCTGTATTTATATATATATATTTATATGTTTATATAAATATAAATTCAAAGGATTTGAGGAGGTTCAAGTACATTTTCATGAACAATATTCTCAATAAATTAAATCAATGGAAAACAAAAAAGGACACTAACAAAAACTACTCCATTCCACATACAGATTCGCCAGTGCGTTTTTCCACTTCACAAACACTTCGTGAAAAATTTAAGGGGGTCTGAATACTTTCCGTACCCACTGTATATATATACATCCATTTATTTTATCTGAAGTAACAAAAATGTTTGTTTTTTTTAGATTTAGTTACCTATAATAACCCTGATCAGAATCAGAGTTTAAGTGATGATATGTTCAACTATCAAACTGAGACGACTGTACACTTTCAGAGATAAAACCAAACGCAGAGCCTGTTATAATGTGTAGGATTATTTCCCCACCTCTCAATTAATCTAATTTTAAGGTACCTATTATTTTTTTCCTTTTTGTTCCATGTGCCCGTCTTGCGGTCTGGCAGCGCAGCATGCTGACTGCCAGTTTATTTGGTTGAGAGAATCAGGGCTACGATGAGGCCGTAGAGACCCAGAACTTCAGCGAAGATCAGAATGAGGATCATACCGACGAAGAGGCGCGGCTGCTGAGCGGTGCCACGGACGCCTGCGTCTCCCACGATGCCGATGGCAAAACCAGCCGCCAGCCCACTCAGACCCACGCTCAGACCTGCACAAAATGTTTGTTTTTTTTAGATTTAGTTACCTATAATAACCCTGATCAGAATCAGAGTTTAAGTGATGATATGTTCAACTCACTTGTACAGAGTGATCTTGTCTGAGATGCTGTTGGCGATGAGGACGGCCACCACCAGCCCGTATATAGCGATGATTCCCGCCATGACCACAGGAATGATGGACTTCATGATCAGCTCCGGACGCATCACGGACATGGCAGCGATACCCGTGCCGCTCTTCGCTGTGCCATACGCCGCGCCCAACGCTGCACACAGACACACACAAGCTGCTTACTCTTCACGCACAATTTCCTTTATTATTATAACAAAACTGCATCGAAATATGAATGTCACATTATTTGACTTCCCAATAAAAGTGCACTCAAACAGCGACTAAATATAGTTGTATCTATACCCTCAAGTCCAGCTCTAAAATATACAAAAATCATTACCAATATCATACAGATTTCAAAAAGAAAGTGATCAGGTGTAGACTGCATGATGCATAAGCTTGCATAATTTCTCAACGCCGCCTGACTCTGCAGAAACGGCCTTCAGCGAACAGCATGATTCACGTCTCCTGCAATGTTTCTGCAGTGTTCAGTAGTGAAACCAAAAGAGCAAAACATGAGTAAGCTGGAGTTTTACACTTCTGAACAGACTCGCCGTTGCTAGGGTGTTTTAAAGCACTGCTAATCGATTGCCAGGGCATTTCTATCACATTCTGCAAGGCTGCGGGGTTGTCTGCACGTTGCATGTATTGTCATAAATTTCAAAAATCATAAATTTGACAACTTAGAAGAATAACAGAACTCTTTTCAACAAAAGTTTAATACTTATGATTAGTTCTTTCAAAAAACTGAATGAGAATAGTAATAAGTGAAGATTCCATTATCAAACAAACAGCAATAACACTTTCTATTTTTACTAAGGAAGTCAGTCCCAATAACACCCATACTGAAATCAGAAATGTACCATGGAGAAAATATAATACTTTAAGCACTGGCAGATGGGTGATTTCAGGCTGAAACCAGTCTTACTTTAGGTTAATTGAGATTACATTGTTTTTTATTTTTATATATTCTACTGTCATTTTAATTTTAGTTAAGTTTTAGTAATTTTGTTGTGTTTTTGCCATTTTTATTAGTTCTATTTTTGTTTACATATTTTTTTTTTTTTTTTTTTCAGTTTTAGATTTTAGTTATTTTAGCACATCAGGATAAATTAAATGAAAATAAACAAATGCTGCATTGGCGACTAAAAATATTTTATTTCAGTTAAAGTTTGTTTTATTTCAAGTAACTAAATTTTTATTATTATTATACATTTTTTTCAAACCAGGTAACTAAACCAGCCCACTCAGACCCACGCTCAGACCTGCACCCAGATGCAAGAAACTCCTGCCACACACAGTAAAATAAATAACTACATGAATGAGTAAATGGAAAAAAAAGAAAAAAAAGGGTTGGGACTTTTTTTTTTTTGGTGTAAATGGAAATAATTCACATAATTATTAATGAATGAGACCTAATAGATTGTGAAAACTTAAGTAATTTACTGTTTTCAAAATGGAAACATTTTTAAAGAGTGAAATTTATTTACAGTAAATCAATGCTAATATATATATACATATACATATAAGAAATAAGTGGATAAAACAACCACATTTCATTTCAAATACATTTATATTATTTATATTAAAAATAAATTAATGAATTAAAAATAAATAAATAATTTAAAAGAAATGCATGAATAAATACATAAAAAATATATACTTCTAAAGAAACGTATGAATGTTTTGAAAAAAACAAAACAACAACAAGCTTTCTACAATATCAGCAATACAGATAGAAATAGCAAAATACTACTGGAATCAATGACAGAAATTTTGGTATTGCACAAACTATAATAATATAATATAATACGAAATTATAGTATCATTAAGACAATATTGTAGCATTTATTAATATTATGAATTGGTATGTATTTTCAATTTTCAATTTAGTAAAATATTTAGTAATTTTGTTGTGTTTATCTAATATTCATAACATTTATAACATTAACACTTTTGTTACTTCAGATAAAATAAATGGTAACTGAAATTATAATATATATATATATATATATACAGTGGGTACGGAAAGTACTCAGACCCCCTTAAATTTTTCACTCTTTGTTATATTGCAGCCATTTGCTAAAATCATTTAAGTTAATTTTTTTCCCTCATTAATGTACACACAGCACCCCATATT